GTAGACGTTCCCACGCTTTGTAGCACATCAGTGACACCTAGTGGATTATTTACACCATTGCATGAGATTTAAATATGTAGGAGCAAGAAAAGGTCAGCTTTGTCCAAAGAAACACTTTTTTTTTTTTTTTTTATATGTCGATAATGATGGCCCTAAGTCAAACCTAATGAAACTACTTTCTTTTTCTAATCTTTGTCATGTTTTTAAGATCTCGCATGCTTATGCACATGCTCTGCTCGTAGGCCAGTAGGAATGGCGCCACTGGTGTGGAGTTGGACCTGGAGTTCTCAGCTGATGGGATCCCCATACTAATGCACGACGAAACTGTAGATCGGACCACCAACGGTTCGGGCCCACTCAGCAAGATGAGCTTTTCAGAGCTGCGTAAATTGGATGCATCTGCTAAACATCGGCTCAGGTGAGAAGAGGTTTGGTCCAGAAGGTCATAAGAGTATGACAGACTGTCATCCTGTTGGGTAGCTTTTGATTGAATGGTTGAATTTAAAGTATTGTTGTAATATAGGACATAACCCTAATTATCAAAATGTTGGGGGTTAAGTATGAATCTCTTCTACACCAGTGGGACTGATTGATATTAACAGTTATTTTTTTAAGAAAGGGATTTTTTATTTTTTGCTATTAAGCACCTTTGCAAGGTGTAAATGAGCCTTCCTTTTCTTACTAGGTCCAAGTTTGTTGGTGAGAAGATCCCGACTCTGGAAGAGGCGGTGAAAGAATGCATCAAGCTGCAGCTCACCATCTACTTTGATGTCAAAGGTCATCCAGACGAGGTGCAGCCATCAGAAACACTTTTAAACAGAATTGATAATGTGCAGCCAGTCACCTCATTTAACTGATTAGCAAGCAGGTAAAATTGGTAATGGTAAAGACAATGTTGGGCCTTTACTGTCTATTGCAGAAGTATTAATACCTTTTGAATGCTGCCTCATTTTCTAATTAAAACCACAAATTCGGATTTATTCAGTGGTTCTGCACCTGCTCCCTGAGTAGATGTTCCCACACTTTGTAGCACATCATCACATTTTTTGCTACACAATTCCGATGCTGTGAAGTACTGCAGCATGAGGT